ACAATATATTAAATATTGTCTGCACTGTTAGAGTAGTAAACAATACAATATATTAAATATTGTCTCCACTGTTAGAGTAGCAAACAATACAATATATTAAATATTGTCTCCTCTGTTAGAGTAGTAAACAATACAATATATTAATTATTGTCTCCACTATTACAATAGTAAGCATTACAATAGATTGAATATTGCTTTTCACTTTTACAGTAGAAAACAATACGAAAGGTCGAATATTGTTCTGCACAGAAGCACATATACTAGAACTATAAAACACACAGTGTTTTGAATGTTTCATATTAGTGCCCTATCACCGAAATAAACTAGCAAATAGATGGAATGCTTCAAAGGTACTGTTACAGCAGTATACTATACCAGGGATTGAATTCAACAGATGTCCAACTACAGTAGTATATATACCAGACATGTAAGCCACAGGAATTGAATTCAACAGATGTCCAACTACAGTAGTATATATACCAGACATGTAAACCACAGGAATTGAATTCTACAGATGTCCAACTACTGTAGTATATATACCAGACATATAAACCACAGGAATTGAATTCTACAGATGTCCAACTACAGTGGTATATACACCAGACATGTAAACCACAGGAATTGAATTCTACAGATGTCCAACTACTGTAGTATATATACCAGACATATAAGCCACAGGAATTGAATTCTACAAATGTCCAACTACAGTGGTATATATACCAGATATGTAACCCACAGGAATTGAATTCAACAGATGTACAACTACAGTAGTATATATACCATAAATGTAAACCACAGGAATTGAATTCTACAGATGTCCAACTACAGTGGTATATATACCAGACATGTAACCCACAGGAATTGAATTCAACAGATGTCCAACTACAGTAGTATATATCGATCCAAAGTAATTCCTCGGGCAAAATATATACATAAACCAAAAACAGAAAAAAACGTAATTTCCATAAAGACCCCGGATTAAAAAAATATGCAAAGGGGCACAATTCGAGTGTGGTGATTAGAAAATGGATAATATGTTTGTAAAAACAACATAGATAGCGGGGTCGAAAATGTAAGCGTAGGTGCATGACTACAATTCATGAAATATTACAAAATGAAAGTAAACTTACAGCAGTGACCTATTGGTTATATAGATTTTCTGCGTTAAAGGTTATATGATTGAAATATTTATTTCAAAACCACTTTGAAACAAAATTACCAAAAGATAGTTATCAGTCTTGTTCAAGCATTTTATCAAGAATTTGATATTCAAAACAGGAGTAAAATGCTATGGAATTCTAAAGATTAACTTAATCATCACACAAAACATAAACTTAATGCTTTTTGATTAATAAACAAGGGTATTTACAAAGGTCAAACATACATCATTCAAATGGGTATATCTGTACACCGGTACACGTGTAAAACAAATGAACTTCCATGATCAATGTAGGGACGGGTATATCCCTGATTATTAGGTACTTATAAATCGTATTTTAAGATATTGTAAAAAAATATTTCATCAATTTAACCACCATTTAACCATCTCCTTATTCCTTTATTAATTCTTTTATTCTTTCAAGAACTTTATACTTCATTGAACATGCATGCGTTCATCGATAGCATTAAACAATGATAAACACAATTCTCACGTTTTCGTACCTCCAGCGTTAATGTTCACGTCACGACACACTAAGGCTGGACACCAGGAGCAATGCTACTGTGATAAACAGTGGTTTGTATAGACGTTTGTAAGACATCGTTTACACAACAGGAATTCTGAAAGGGAAGACATCTGACCTTGTTGTGTAAAGATTTAGTTGGAGATATCTAAGAAGATGATATTTAATCGTTATTGCTGTTTTTCTTTTAATTGTTCTTCAATGCAAAGTTATGCTGTGTTGAGCTGTTGGAGAAAAGCGTTAACCTTTACTTCTGATCGTGTAGCTGCCTTGATCCGGGCTCTGTTTATCTCCTCTTTAGATATGCACTGCCCAGAAATGATAAGTTTGATCATACAAAGACGATGTGTAGGCTTCATCTTCCTTTCCATTGTCTCTGTCAAACATTTATCAAAGAACCGAGCACCGATAGCGATAATGCATTTAGTCATTTGTAAATCACCAAACTTGACTGCTTCAAACAGTGCTTCCTTCCTCTCTTCTGAAGGCCACTGTCGAGATTTACACACGTATTCTACTGCCTTCACTCTTTCTACAGGTTTCCACCTTTTACAGACTATTTGCCGCAGACTTCCGTCTGGAAACTTTGCTCCCAATCCGTGTAGATCAACCATAAGTTGGTAATAGCCACAGTCTATGGTTTTCACCAGTGCAGCTGACAATGACGAATGTGATGGTCTGCAGTCGTCCAGGGATCGCAGAACATACTCTACCAAAGGGAAAGATTTATTAATCTGAGAGCTTACTGGTATAGCATGCAAAATACTCTCCTCACCAAATTTGGCACCATTCTCATGCAGAAACATGACAATGTCTTTGTATCCACACTGAAGTGCTTTGTCAAGAGCTTGTGTCTGTACGATTTCTGACCAATTACGAGATGTTCGGACCAGTCGGACCAGCTTCAGCTTATCACTGCCCTGGACACCTTCACTACATACGGAATCAACCAAGCAGTCGTCACCGCATACTTTGCCAGTCTCAATGAGATGAGCAGCCACGTCCACACGGCCGTGTTGCACACTTCTGTTCAGAATAGCTATCAAAACATCGTGGTTTGAACGCTGCTGATTCTCTAGTACTTTGATGATGTTAATGATGTCGATTTTTTTTTTCTCAACGTCTTTTAGTTCAACTGGAATGTGTTTCACCTTATACAACATCAGTTCCACAAACGCAGGCCAGTTATTCTTTCCACTACCCCCGGGGACAAACAGCTTCTTTACACCTGCTTCTAATGCGGTACATATCTGATGTTCTGACCACTTTCTGGCATTTAACATGTATCGGATCGAGGCTGCCTGTACACGATGCTCTACATTCCATTTGAGGACATTCAGTAAGCTCACGTTACTGAATTGTCCTCCTTTTTCATGCAGAAAGCTGACTACATCTGATCTGCATATTTGAACAGCTTTAGAAAGAGCTCTTGTAAAATCATCACAGGACCATTTTCCTAAATTTGTCACTATCTTAACCATTTCGAGAACTTCAGATGTTCTACAAACAGCCGCAATCAAAGCACCTTCGCTGAATTTCCCTCCTCGTGAAAACAAGTTCTGTGCTAGTATTGGCAGTCCAGAGCGAACAGCTGCATTGAGAGCAATAGTAACATGGACCTTGTCGATATACTTGTAGATAGTTTGAATGACATCCGTGTCCCTTCTGCACACAACCTTGTGAATTGTGTCATCATCTAAATCATATTTTGCTCCTTTGTCTCGCAGGGCGCTAATAGTATTTTTCGACCCTGAACACAGTGCCGATTTCAAAGCGGCGGAGAGAGTGTCCGCCGAAAACTGTCCGAAAGTTGCCATAATGCTGACAGTTTCAGACACAACATAGCCACAAGACCCTGATCTTTGGATAAAATCGTCATGGCTAAACCTACCCCCTGCTTTGCATAAAATTTCTATATTAGTCAGGTTTCCAAGGTGAACTTGCTGTGACAGCATGGTATCAAGCTGGTCATCTGTGAGTTTGGTAGACAATACCAGGAATCGAACTGTATCAGCATCACATCGATGTAATGCATATTGGATCAAAGCAGCATCAAGACTTCCAAGCGTTCTTCTGATACAGATTACATCACTCAACTTCTTTCCCTTCGAATCAAGAATCGCTTTGAGAATCGACTCTCTATTTTCACTCTTTGGTGCTGTAGCTAGAAGCTCTGAAAACATAGGTTGGAAACATTTCCCATGTTTCGCATCATTTCTCGTTTGTTTTGATTGTTCTTGTTGTCTTTCTGTATGGAGAGGTGGTATATTACACAATCTCTGTTTCAAGTGTGAAACATCGCACCTGTTTTTTTGTAATATCGTAGGGTCTCTAATAATCCTTGATTCTTCAAGTTCAGATGATGTCCAGATATTTCCAAACAAGACTGTTTTCATGATGTTTTGATCATTTTGGAACCTGAGTGCAGATTCAAGACAGGAAGTGTCGAAAACTGCTCCTTGGTTTAGTAACAGTTCAATAGACTGAGTGTTCTTGCACTCAATGGCCCGGAGCAATGCTTTTTGTATACAGGCGGTAAAACGGAGAGCCCCGAGTTGACTGATCATATCAAGGTCAACTTTTGACCGGTATAGTGCTGACAAAAAAGCCACATTGTTTGCACAAGCTGAAAGTAGACTACTCTGACCATTATCATGAACAGTGATTATTTCTTTTATCAGCTTGCGCTTTGACAGATACTCAAAGAAATGGTCTGCAAACTTTTTGTTTTGGAATCTAGGAAAGGATTCTAATGTGAGCCTTTCCCAACTTATCATGTGACCTTTTGTGAGCATTTTGTAAATCCTCTTTGACAATACGTCAAAGCAGGTTTCTGGTACACGCATGTGTGGAAGGGTTGGTCGATCAGCCTGGGACAAATTCAAAAGCTCCAGAATAACACGGTTGCTGCATTTCTGTAGTGTAATCTGTGGATTTTCTGAACCAAACACCAGACAAACATTTTCTGCAACTGATTCATGACTGAATGTGTAAACTGTGTCATATTTGCTGAGATAGGTCCTTGTCAAGGAAAACAAAGCCTTTTTTAGTACAGCTGTAGGATTATTACTATCCACACCGCATACATCTGCATAGACCTTCAACATTTTCCCCTCGTCCTTAGGCATAGTAAGTGGATTCAGGTCTCTGCTGTCAACTCTTTGGTTTTGCTGTAAAAAGCAATAAACCAGGGCAAAGTATTTATTTGGCTCACATTCACTCATTTTCTTTATCTCCTTTTCAAGTAGTATATCTGGATTCTCAAAAAACTTCTGACCCTTTTCATATAATTGGGGATCGTTAAAGAATAGACTGCATACTTGTGGAAACCCAATAGACCTGTTTTGTGTTTGAGAGGGTATACTGTACTTGAAGTCATTCTCTCTTTTGTACAGGATAGAGTAATTCCCTAACATATTTTGTTGTTCTTCAGGTGTGAGCTGGTATTTGTATGTGATATCAACAACTTTCTTTCCTGATAGAATATGATCTATGTTGTCATCTGTGACACCTGCATCGCGTCTGGCATCTGTTAGAATGTGGGTGCGGGAGGTTAAAAGCAACATGACCTTTTTCTTTTCTAAGCACTGGTTTATTTTACTGAAAAATGGCTTCCATCTGTTAAGTAGATCTACTTGGTAATTAGATGTTCCAAATAAGTCATCTACAAAAACCACTTCTTTAGCACCACCTTCTTTAGCACCTACCACTGCTGTCCAATCTTCAGGAATTAACATCTGAAGTGGTGTTTTTGCTTCAATTGCTGAATCAAGCTTACCATCCCTAAGGGCTTTCAATATGTGTGCTGCTAAAGTTGTCTTCCCTTCCCCTGTTACCCCAGTAATAACGGCCATGTTGTAATCTTTTAGACGCTGAAGCACTGCCTTAATGCCCTCCCTCCTCTCCACAAGGACTTCCTCAGAGTCATCTATAAACTTGGCAATGGTAGCTTCTGCTGCATCTGAAAGAATAACAATACCACTGAAATAAAGTCTGGGTACTCAAACTATTAAACAACCAATAGTAACGTGCATATGTTTTAGCTGTTGAACAAAGCTAAATATCAATTAACAATAAAAAAAAGACAATATCTGAATGCCCATATGAGTTTCTTCACATAGCAATATCAATCTCTTACAACAAGTAATAAATGTATCAAAGTAAATTTCCTTATGATTTAAAAATAAATATGACAAGGTGTACTTAAATTTCAGAGATGAATACAGTACAATCCAACTTGATTTAAACCAAGTCAAATCAATCAAGATTAGATTATGAAAAGTAAAAGATTACAATGTATGAATTTTATTACTGGCCATGCAAACAAGAACATGTCTCTCTAAAATATAAGTACCCCCTCCCCCCTACCCCTGTAACATACCCCCTACCCCTGTAGCATACCCCCTACCCTTGTAACATACCCCTACCCCTGTAACATACCCCTACCCCTGTAACATACCCCCTACCCCTGTAACATACCCCCT